CGGTTACGGCCATACCACGTTGAATACACCAGTTCTCGTCCGATCACTGAAGTTAAGCAACGTCGGGCTCGGTTAGTACTTGGATGGGTGACCGCCTGGGAATACCGAGTGTCGTAACCTTTTTATTCTTTTTTCCTGTTTCAGTCTCAACACCATTGTAATATTTTATCATTTATCTGCTTTCTACGATATTGCTCGTTCGAAAACATTCTTTCCTCGTTTTTGTGCATTCAAAAAGTGAGTATACTCTAGAATCGGTCAGTGTGCCCGTCCGTCCGTCCGTTTACTCGATAGTTTTCGAAAGACTAAGCCGATTTTCATGAAATTTTGTACATAGTTGAATCTCATTTATATCTCGTTCGAGTTCAAAGAGGAGCCTAATTGGCCAAGCCATTCCTGAATTATTGCAAAAATACTGATATTTCCCTATATACACTTTTTGCAGTACACATAACTGTCGGATAAAATTCGAAGTTTTCGCATTTATTATTCTACTTTATTCCAATTTTGGATATTACTTCATGACAATTCATTTTATTTTACCATGAAAAAAAATCATTTTTTATACAATATTTAATTTAATTTTAGTATGCATACAGTATTATATATGTTTTTACAAAGTAATTCGATCATCTCGATAGTTTTTTGAAATTAAAGATTTGTTCGGCCATTTATCATACTATCTGTTTAATAAGCTTGTTATTTTAGCAAAAACAAATAATTTCATTAATTCTTGTCGAAATACGGTACCATATAAAGTATAAATGTAAAACTTGATAGCACTATCAAGATATGCACATATTACAAATATATTGAATAGTGTATTTTCAATGGCTACACGTAGAACAGATTTTGTGTCATAAATAGTTGCCACGGAATAAAGCTTATAAACACCTAAGGGAAATGAAGCAATAACGAATACAGCAATCTATATAAATAAACAGTTAGATAACGAAATACTTTTTATTTGTAGAACTTACTTGTATGAATAATACTAAAATTAATTGTGCTTCACGTTTTTGTGCTACTCGACTAACTTCGTTGGGAAATAGTTGTTTATTTTGACCGTTTGTATTATTTGTTGGCTGTTGTGGTCTAGGAACAGGGATTGCGTTTGTACTTCTGGCCATCGATGGAGGTCTATTAATTGTTTGTATTACGTTGATACGATGACGTTTTCGATGAACATTTCGTAATGTTAACGATCCAAATACAATCATCATCAGTGTTGGTGCTAAGATTTGGAATAAAAATTGCATTAGACTATCAGCAATTTGGCATCGAATATTTAATCTTAACTGATAACATGATTGTGATGCTCCTAATATGTTTTGGTTAATATCAATACAATAAAATTGTTCACCAAATGCAAAAAATCCAAACAAAATAACGAAGACCATAGAGAGACGAGCACGTTTTATTGTAATTAGTTGACGTCTGTTGACGTCTGTTGATGAAGTAAGATATCGCTCAATAGAGGCGAAACCAATAAACCAGGCAGCTGTATATCCTGAAAAATATGTTATAAAAAATTTCAGCTTACAAACAACAGCTGAATTTTGTGTTGGATCGACATTAAATCCATTTAATGTACGAGGAATAAGTCCAATTAAAATAGCAAAAAAGTCAAAAATAGTTGATGCCAGAAAATAGGTAACACAAATATTATTACGAAATATTTTACGTGTAAATACTAATATATTTAATGTATTTCCAATTATACCAAAAAATAGAAGAACAATGGAAATATAACGATTAATAATTTGATTTAACAAAGCAAAATTTATTGGGACAGATGAAATTGTACTACCCATAGTATCTAACGAAAGAGAGAATGAAGTATTATAATACAGCCGAAACATGAAAATAATTCTTATCTACTCCACATTCTTCCAGTCATCTTAATTATTTTATGTAGATTTACCGCTTCTCATTACTTAGTTCTGAAACACGTATTGCTCATGAGAAAGATTATTTCATTATAATTTTGCTTTTCCGAAGAAGAATATCTCAAACTTCGATAGTTAAAATCATCTTGAATGATAATACGTGTCATGAAACTATCACAAAAACATAGTAAACAAGTTTTGATTATATTTTTAACAAATAATCGGCAGCTAAGACTATATCATACTTTTTTTGTCATATTATAATTGAGAATTAGAGAAAATTTAATGAAACTACCTTACTTTGAAATTTCCGACGTTTAATTAATCTAAGGGATGGTTTATTATTTGATGCTAAGGATTTCTCATCTGTCACTAACAGTAAAAGAAGCTAAATAGAAAAAAATGTAATTTTATTTTATCATATGACTGAAACAGAAATGCTGAAAAAAACATTATTAATTTTAGTCTCTTAATATCTGATATAAATTAAAATAAAAAAATACGATAAGATTACTGGTTTGAAATTGTAATCTGTGATGTATCAAGGATTATGGTGGTAATATGTTCGAAATTTCTCTTTAATTATACTGTTGATTGAAATAATGATTTATTCCGCGATAATATTTGAAATTTCCTGTAAATCTAGATATATACGACAAAAAGCAAAGTTTTATCGACTGTTGTAAAAGATGAGGTGATAATCTAGCGAAAATTTATTGTATTTCAGACGTAATGATTTGAAAATGAATTACAAATTAGAGAATAGAAGATATCGACTCCACATTCGCCTACAGCGCATAAGAAAGCTTATATCTTGAAGAAGACATATGCCATATCAATAGGAAGAAACAGATATCAAAAAGAAGATCTGATGATGACATTAATAATTTAAGAAGATCTTCCCCTCGTAAAAGAACTCATACCGGAGTTCTCAAAAAGTACTCACGCTAGAAAATGTTACGAGAATTCATGAGTACTTATGATGTTTGAGTGCTAATATATTGTACCTATCATACACAGTAATTGTTCGACTACTACTAGGGAGTACTTATGTAAAACTGTTGAGTATTTAAGTATTGTAAGAAACTAGTCGTTTCTAATTTTACGAGTACTCTATTGGTATGTTTCATATACGACAATATTTGTATTAGTTTTTAGTTTATTGATATAATCTAGTTTTTGATCATGTAACAGTAACAAGGTGAACATAAAAAAGAACATAAGTATTATAAACAAGATAAAATATGATACAATATTCAATATTAAAAAACAAAGAAAAGACAGTACAAAAATCTTCTCTAATTATATAAAATATTAAATCATCCCTACTTCAATATAACTAGTTTGCTCAGTATAATCACAGCAAAAAATATAAAATCATATAAGAGTTTTATAGGGTTCATTTACATGATTGAGTTTGCGATTGAATATCTTCTGTATACATGTACAAAAATACAAGTCACGTTGCTTTTTGTGTACTCAAAAAGTGAGTACACTCTAGAATCGATCAATGTGTTCATCCGACCGTATACACGATAACTTCCGAAAGGAGAGGCAAATTTTTATGAAATTTTCTACATAATTCAGTCTCATCAAGATCTCGGTGGGGTCCGAAGTTGAGCCATTCTCGAGTTATTGCAAAAATACTGATATTTCCATATATACTTTTTGCAGTACACATAACTCTCGAATAAAATCCGAAGTTTCCGCATTTATTTTAAAACTAAAACTTATAGTCAAATGCACGTGTTTCAATCTCATATAAATTACATATTTCAACATCTTCTTGAACAATAGAGACTATGGTACGATTTGATTGTACAGAATTATAGTAGCTCTTGATGAATTATTATTGATATATATCATTCATTTTTATTTTCACTTTCCTTTGTTTAAAAGAATTTGAAACAAGTTATGATCTTTATTTTGAAATTACTTTTTACAATAGTAATTGCTGATATATATTGGGGAAAAGATTTTCAGAGAAGAACTGTTTGGCAGTGAAGATTATAGGGAAGACTGAGAACTTTTATCCCCGGTTACGGCCATACCACGTTGAATACACCAGTTCTCGTCCGATCACTGAAGTTAAGCAACGTCGGGCTCGGTTAGTACTTGGATGGGTGACCGCCTGGGAATACCGAGTGTCGTAACCTTTTTATT